CGCGCACTGCTCGGGCAGCTCGGGGCGCGCCTCGCGCACGGCGCGCGAGTACTCGTGCGGGTCGAAGCGCTCGCCGCACAGCGCGGCGCTCTCGCGCAGCAGGCGCTCCAGCAGCGGGTCGCCGCCGCCGCCGCCCCCGCGCAGCGCCCCCTCCGGGAGCAGGAACCGCGGCGTGTCTGGCAGCAGCAGCACGTGGCACGGCGCCACCGCGTCGCGGCGCAGCGCGCAGCACAGCACCACCGTCTTGGAGACGATGCCCAGCAGCTTGTAGCAGTGGCCCTCGCGCACGGCGTGCAGGTCGTAGCGGTTGCGCGGCGGGCGGGCGGGCACGGTCACGTTCACGGGCAGCCGCACCTTCTCGACGATGCTGCGCACCGTGTGCTCGCCGGCGCGCATCTGCAGCTCCAGCGGGGAGCGCGTGCTGAAGCGCCCCCGGCACTGGAAGGGCAGGCTGAGGCTCTCGTTGGTCCGGTGGTTCATGCAGATCAGGCAGGGCACCTTGCCCCGCGCCGCCCGCCCGCCCGCGCCGCCGCCACCGCCGCCGCCTCCCGCGCCGCCGGGGGCGCCCGCCTTGCCCAGCTTCCGCAGCAGCGCGTTGAGGCGCGACTTCTCCTTGGCGGCCTTGGCGCACAGGATCTCGGCCTGGCCCATGGGGGTCAGCTCGTCCCCTGCATGCAGGGTGAAATTGTACACCTCGCTCTCCTCACTGAACTCGCCCGACACGACCTGCGGGGGGCCCGTTGGCGGAGGGGGAGGAAAAGAGGCGTGACAGGTCCTGAACAGCGCTCGCCCGGTGGAGCCGCGGGCCACCCGCCCGGGAGGCCGGGTGGGGGCTCCTCCGGCCGCGGCTCCATTACCGTGCGCGCCACACCCCCTGCGGAGGCCCGCCCGCCGGCCCGCTGCCTGCAAACGGGGCGCTGGCCCTGGGAACCGCCGCACACGCCTGTGGAGAAGCAAACCCGCCGCGCTCAGGGGGACCCGCTCCCGGGAAGGCCCATCTGGGACTGCCCTCTCCAAGACCACGCAGCGGCTTCCTCGGCACCCTCCTCTCTGCACGCTTTTTTCTCAGTGCCCCCACACTTCCCCGCCTTTCCGTCTCCATGTTCTTTAGGGTGCTCCCAGGATCAGCCCTGTGGGGCCCCCCGTGAAGGGAATGGGACCGAGGTTAGACCCACACCGATACAGCCCTTTGCCATTCTTCCCTTGGCTTCTCTGCAAACTTGAACCCTCCTCCGCCGTAGAATTTATTGATCCTAAACACTTACTAGTACCCTGCAAACTGCGGTGCGTTTGTGCCACTCCCTGGGGAGGGGCGCATGAAAGGGGGAAGCCTTTGGGGGCCCTCACTGCTATTTCCGGCATGTCCAGAGCCAGCTGGCCTCACGTGGCCAGCAGACCTTTGTTTCCTGCTCGCCGAGGAGACCCCTTAAACACATGCCATAAAAAGGGCGCCAGCAGTGCAAAAGGGCGCCATACTTATCTCCTCAGAGGTGAGCCCCATTGAGTTCAATGGCACTTACCCCAGTGAGCGTACGCCGGAGGAGTGGGGCACCGCGGGAGCCTGTGGGCCGCCCGCTGCCCGGCCCCCCTGCGCAGGCAGCACTGGAGGGGGCGGAGAAGGCAGGGCAGCTTTGCTCAGCGCCGGCACACGCGCTCCGCTCCAGCGCCGCTCGAGGGCAGCACGTCCCCCACGGCCGCGCATGGGACTGCGGCTTCGGACACAGACGTGCCCCCGGAGCCCGGCCACTGGCCCAGAGAGGCCCACGCCGCCCAGTCCGGAGAGGCCGTCGGGCAGCACGGAGGAGGGCTTTTGCTGGCAGACGAGCTGTGCCCCCTTCAAGGCCTTGGACCCCGGCTCCCTGCTCCCCAGCCCAACGGGGCAGGGCGTCTAGAGGCGGCAGCCCCGAGGTCGGCTTAGAAGGCCTCTGCTTCGCCCTGCGGCGTTTCATCGCGGGCCCGGCTGGTGGCACGGCCAGGCGGAGGCGCTGCAGGGCTGGGCGGGCCTCGAGGCAGGCCCCCTCCCTCGGCCACACGCACGGCACCGCCTGCTCCCTGGTCGGCCTGGCCTGGAGCGGAGCCTCCCTTCTGCCGGGGGGCCTGGGGGCGGCATCCCTCCCGCCCTGCGCTTCCGCTCGGCACACCCGCCCCGCGAGGGTGAGGCGCAGCGTACCTTGACGCTGAAGGTGATGGCCTCCATGACGAACACGCGCTCCGGGAACGTGCTGGCCACCTCCTCCACGCTGCTGAAGTACCGCACGGGCTCCCGCACGTCTCGATCCTCGTCCAGCAGCTTGAACTTGCCTGCAAGGGCGAGCGCCAGGCAGGCGGGCTGGTTAAGGAGCCTGACCGGGGTGCCCTGGGGCCGGTCTGCTCGGGCACCTGGCGGGCCGCTGCGCAGGGAGGCTGGCCGGGCCGCTTCCTCCAGCAGCAGGCGGGCAAATGTCCTAGGACCGCCTGCAGACGGGCGGCGGGCACAGCCTTGCCTCTCGGTCTCTGGCACGTTTTCGGAAGGGGCATCCTTCCCCCAGGCATGGACGCTGTCTGAATATTACTGCCTTCATGCTTTTTGGTGATTTCAAACAATTTCAAACACGTGATTTCCAACACGTCTCTCCTGCCTCCCCTTCCACGCCTTTTTCCGAAGCTGAACAGTCCCAGTTGTGGCGGCTCCTCATGGGGGGCCTGCAGCCCCCCGGTCATTCGCCTTGCCCTTCCCTGCACCTTTCCCAGCTCTGTCATGTCCTCTAGGGTGAGGCAACCGGAACAGAGCAGGAGATTTCAAGTGTGGTTGCACCAAAGAATCCCGAAAGGGGAATGCGGGTTTTCCTTCTCGGCCGCTGAGCGTGGGCCGACATCATCACGCTGCCCCCCCGCCCCCCCAAGATCCTTTTCCCACTCAGTCGCTGCTGCTCAGCCGAGGCTTAGCTGCTTTCGAGGAGGAGCTGTGATTGCTTTTCTAAAACAGCCTCTACTCCTTTCGCATCACAAGTCTCACTAAATAAACTTGAAGGCCGCTTCCCTTCACACTGTGCCCTCAACTGCTCCAACTTCTCCTGCTCTGGGGACAAGGTCACACAAGGTCGTGTTTCCCACGTGGGGGGCTGGGGGACTGCAACTCTGCCCTGCACCCTGGGGGGGGGGCATTCCCGATGCACAGAAGAGGCCCTGGGAGAGATCCCCCTTCAGGGAGCAGGCGGGAGGCCTCACGGGCCGCCAGTTCCCACTCTGCACCTTTCAGCAGGCCCAGACTGGACTGCCCTTGCCGAGGAGGACTGTCCTGTGTGAAGAGGGACACACGGCCCCGTACTGAGCCCCTGGCCTCTGGTGCTGCCCCATCAGCCCGGCCACAGCTGCAGACCCCTGGTGCCAGGGGGAGGCTGGGCTGGGGGGACGGGGGGGTGGCTCTGGCTGGCCGGCTTTCCCTGCCTTGCCTACCCTGCAGGGCTCTTGTCAGATATACCGGACTGGGCGGGAGAAGGTGCGAACTGTTGGGAGCTTCTTGGAGGAAGGACTGGGGAGAAGGGACAACACTGGGCGATACACAACGAATTCAGCGTGTCATTTAAAGGTCTCTGCTCGTGCGCTTTCCTTCTGCGCGGTAGCCTGGCAGGGCCAGGAGGTGGGTGCTCCTAGTTTTTAAAGCAGCACCGTGAGCAACGGGGGCTGGACCTGCTCCGTTTGCAGACATCCTTAACCAGGCGCTCTGCCATCCCACCCTTAGGTCCCAATCCACCAGGCTGGGAGAAGCGGTGGGGGGCTCGGGTGCAGCCCGGCACGCCCCACGCTCGGAGTGCCATGTCCGAGCCTGGAGAGGGCACGGCCCCGGGGTCATGGCAACCGGTGCCTCCAGGAGCACTGCGGCTCGGGCCGTGGGGAGCGGGGCCGTCGGCGGCCTGCCACGCCAGAGCCAAGTGGGGGCCCGGCACTGCCGGCGGGACCGGAAGGGGCCACCGAGGCCACGCAGGACTCCTGCTGGCCGCAACAGGAGCAGCAGCGCTGGAAACGGAGCCCCGGGTGCACGAGTGCGTGGCGGGGGGGCGGGGGGGCGTCCTTCGCCGGCCGCCCCTCCAGGACGCTGCCTGGGTGAGGTGGGCAGCTCTGGCCCCAGGGAGGAGGGAGCGACTGCCTGCCCCTCGTGCCGCTTATCCGTGGGGCAGGTTCCCATGGCGGGCAGACTTGTCCAAAGGTTGCTGCTCAGGTCTTGGGAAGGGGGCGATATTCAGGTCAGTGAGAGAGAAACCCTCCAACGGACCCGGAGGGGGGGGGGGCAGTCAGTCCCAGCACCCTGCCGCCGAGGCCGTGCACTTCGCGGGCTCAGCGAGCCCAGGCGGGGCTGTGTGCTTGTGACAGCGGCCGGCACGAGCCTGCCGGCTCCACTGACCCCGGGGGCTGCCGGGCCGCGCGGAACGGATCAAGGGCGCATGCTCCATGCGCCGCTTGCTGCGAGCCGAGCAGGGGCCCGCGGGCAGCAAACGCCCGGCCTTGGGCAGGGGACCGGGGCCCCAGCTGGGGTGGCCCTCTGCCAGCCTGCCCCCCCATGAGGCTGTCCCTCCCCATTGCAGAGGGAGGCGGGCATCTGCGCCACTTCTCCGAGTGGGGCCGGCAAAGCCGCTCAACACGCCCCCCCCACCCTGTTGGTCCCCAGAGGGGCCGCGATGAGCCACCCCCGCCGACCCTGCCCATGATTTATTCATCCCTGCGCATCATTACGAGGACGGACGGGAAGCACTTAGCCGGCTCATTAGGGGCCGGGGATGAAGTCAGCGCCTCCCGCCTCCCAGCCCGGCGGCTCCCACCTGCTCCACCATCTGCCCGGCTGCCCCCCAGCCCGGCGCCACGGCCCACCCCCTCTGCTTGCCGGGACAGGTCAGTTGCGGCCACCAGAGCCCAGCGGGGCGGCGGGCCACCCCGCCGTGGGGCAGTCGGCTCTGCCCGGTGGCAAATGCCCACAGCCCTCGGGCTGCCTAAGGGCACAACGTGGGTGCCCACCGGGTCTGTTGCACCGCCACGCCTGGACTCCCCGCAGCCGGCTGGGTCTCTGGAGGGGCCCGGGGGGGGGGAAGGTGGAGACAGGGTGGGCGAGAGGGGCTGACAGGCGGGCTGCGTGGCCTGAGGACTCCCGCCTGTCCCGCTCGGCTGTGCGCTCAGAGCACCAGAGGGCATGATGCACCGATGTCCCCCCCCCCAAAAGGCAAGCAGGGGCCGGGAGGAGGAAGCCCGTGCAGCAGTGCACGGGGGGGGGGGTGAGCTGAGGTGCTGGTGTGGCACCCCCACCCCGGGCTGCCTTCCTGGAACCTGGGGTGCCCCGGCACGGGCTGGGGGCGAGCACAAGCGGCTTCCAAGAGCTCTGCAGCTGTGCGGCTCCCTCGGACCCGCTCTCCCCCGGCACTTGTTCCTGGCTGCGCGAACGCTTTGCAGCACGATCCCCAGCGGCCCCAAACCGGGCCGAAGACACGGCGATCCGCGCACGGACAGATGCCCGAGTCGTATTGCAGGCCGTGCGTTTCCAAGGTGATGCTCCTGGTCGGGAACGTTGAAACACACGGGAGAACGATAACCGGGGCAACCGTACGGAACGACGTATCAAGGCCACACACAGCCAGCCATGCGCTTCGCCTCGGAGGGGCAGGTGGCTGCCAGCCCCCGGCAGGTGGCTCATCTGAGGCCTCTGGGGGGGCTGGAGGGGCTGCTGCCGCTCCCCACACCACGAAACGGCAGGGTGGCCTCCCCTTGGGATGGCTTCAACAGAGGACTGCCCGCCCATTTGCTGGTGGCCCCAGGATCAGAGTGGGCTTGCTGCGAGTGCCAGTCGCTGGGAGCACCTGTGGGCGGGGGGCGTCCCGCAGGTGGGCCGCAGCACAGGCCGAGTGGCAGGGCAGGCGGCCCAGCCGGCCAACAGCACAACAGCCAGCCAGCCCGGGGGTCCTGCTGCCCACCCGCCCAGGGCGGCCCCCCTGGCCCCCAGCACGGTGGACGTGGGCGTTCCGTGGCGAAGCTGCAGCCGGGGGCCACGCAGAGGGGTGCACGACGGCTGCAGCTGGGGCGGCGGGGGGAGGGCGCCAGGCGCCGCGAGGACGACGCCGAGGACGCAAAGCCGCCCGGCCGGGAGCCGTGGCCCCCTGGCCCTCACCTGGGTACTGGAGGGGAATGTCGATCTTGGGGCCGATGACGTAGTGGCCCTCCTCCAGGCCGTGGGCCGTCACCGTGGTCCACTGGCGGCAGGAATGGATCAGCAGCACGTCCTGCTCGCCGACGCCCTCCACGAACTCCCCTGCGGCGGAGCGAGACGGAGAAGGCCGTGAGGGCCGGGCCCGGCCGGCTCCTCCTGCCTCCGCGTCCTGTTCAGAGGCCGGAGGGGGGAGGCGGGAGCCCCTCGCGGGAGGCGGGAGGGCAAGCAGCGTCTTCCCGGCCTCTGGACCGCACCGTGCCCGGCCCTAACCAGAGCGCCACACTCCAAGTGCGGCCGCCCCGAGGACGGGCTCGGGCGGAAGGCGTGCTCACAGTCCTGACGCCCCTGCTGGCCCCGTGCACGCCCGCACGGAGCTCCCTTCCCCGACCCCCACCACCCCAAGACCCCTTTCGCGGCGTCACTGCTGGTCCCGCTCCGACCGACATGCGCCTCGAACAGGCATTCGTGTTATGAGGCTTTTCCCGCAGCTCGGGGGGACCCTTTGGGGTTTGGGGACACCGAATGTGAGGTGGGCCCGTTCCGCAAAGGAAGCCACACGCTGGACCTGGGAGAGCCGCGTGGGAATGGCATGCGCATGGCCTTTGCAGGGCTTTCCGCGCATGAGGGTTGCCATGAGTCCGAGGCGACCTGAAGGCGGCGGCAGCAGCTGTGGTCTTGCGTGAGCCGCACGCACCTTTCCAGCAGCCTCGGCAAAAGCCGCCCCGGTAGCAAAGGAAGGCCCGCTTGGAAGGCGTTCGTGCACCAGGCGTATTGCAAGGTTCAGGTTCTCACTGCTTTGCGCTGCAGGAGGTGAGCATTCGAACTTCCAATGTTGCGCCCGAAAAGGGCGCCAAGAGTTTGGCGAGTTCAGCCAAGAGACCCCCCCCCCCCCCCCCAGCGAGCGCCACACTGGGGAGGTGCTTCACCCGCCGAGGGACGTCCACGTTCGAGGCTGCCTGCCTGCCCAGGTGCCCCCCACCCCCCCGGAAGGCCACGAGCCCGCAGGACCAGCACTGTGGAAAGCCTGCTCCAGAAGGAATTTCTCCGGCCCCAGCACCACGCCACAGGACGGCAAATGCATGAAGAGCGGTCCCCCTCGCGTCAGCCCTGCGGCTCCTCAAAGCAAGCGCAGCGGTTTCAAGGCCAGCATGGATTTATCAAAAGTAAATCCTGTCAGGACTTATTTAATCTCATTTCTTGACTGGGTATCCTCCCAAATGGACAAAGGGAACATAATTCACTAGTAAAGCTTTCAACATAGCACCCCATGACATTCTGATAAGCAAATTAGCTACAACTGAACTAGATGGAAAAACTATTGGGTGGATCCAAAACTGGCTGCTGAATCAGATGCAAAGAGGGCTCATCTCTTATCTCAACACCACCCTCTCCAACTGGATGGGGGTAACGAATGGGGTGCCGCAGGGTTCAGTCCTGGGCCCAGTGCTCTCCAACATCTCCGTTAATGATTTAGTTGAGGAAGTACAAGGAAAGATGACCCAATCTGCAGATGATAAAAAACTGGGTGGAATAGCAAACACTCCAGAAGACAGAGTGACGATCCAGGGCAATCTTGATAAATCTGAACGCTGGGCTGAAAGCAGCAGAAAGAGATTCAGTAGGGACAAGTGCCAAGTCCTCCACCTCGGAAAAAGAAACCAAAAGCATAGATACAAGATGGGGAATACATGGCTCAAATCAGAACTGAAAAAGAAAAAGACCTTGGAGTTATTGTGGAAAGTAGACTCAATAAGAGCCAACAATGCGATGCAGTTGCCAAAAGGGCAAATGCTATTCTGGGATGCTTCAACAGAAGTATTACTTCCAAATCACGAGGAGTAGTAATTCCCCTTTACTCCTCACCTGGAATTCTGTGGCCAGTTCTGGGCACCGAGATTTCAGGAAGATGCAAGTAATTTAGAAAGGGTGCAGAGGAGGGCCACAAAAATGATCCGGGCTTTGGAAACGCTGCCCTGCGAGGAGAGACTGAGGGAACTGGGCCTGTCCAGCCTCGAGAAGGGAAGGCTGAGGGGGACAAGATCTCCCTCTAGAGGGACCTCCAAGGCTGTCACAAAGAGAAAGGTCAAGATCTCTTCTTGCTCATGCCAGAGTACAGGGCACGGAAGAATCAAGTCAAACTGCGACAAGCCAGATTCAGGCTGGACAGCAGGAAAAGCTTCCTCACTGTTGGAGCAATATGCCAGTGGGACCAGCTGCCTGGAGGGGTGGGGGGCTCCCCCACACTGGAGATGCTCAAGGTGAAACTGGGCAGCCCCCTGAGTGGGATGATGTGACCTGGTGTCCTGCAACAGCAGGGGGTGGACCAGATGGCCACCTTGGCCCCTTCCAGCTTGCCTATTGTCTGATTCCCCCGGCCAGCTGGGATGGATCCCTTTGGGTTCAGTGGAAAAAACATGTCCCCCCGCCACATCTCCACGTAACGCATGAATGTGCGTGCCCTCAACAGATCTCCTTCCTCTGTGCATTTGCCCTGCACTAAAGACCCTGGGGGCTGGCTTTCCTCCGGGAGGCGTCAGGCCCACTGTGCCATGGGGACACCAGAGTCACGTCCGAGCAAAGCGCGCCCCAGGCCGGGCACGGCGCACCGCCTGACGCAGGTGCAGAGCGGCCGAGGGCCCATCCCCGACCCGCCGAGGCCTGGCAGGGGGGCTGAACCGGTGGCCGCCCCCCCCCCCCCAGCTCTCAGCGCTGCCTTGGGAACGAGGCGCCCCTGCAGGGGGACTCGTCTCCGGCTGCCTCCCCACCGCAAGCCCAGCGGAGCGAGCGCAGGCTCGGCTGCCATGAGACCGGTTGCCTGGGATACGGCCCTTTGTTCGTGCTCAATGGCTGGAGCGGCGGTCCAAAGGCCCGTCTGGCACAGCCGCAGCACTGACACCGGATCCGGGCCGGCAGCAGAGGCCTGTTGCTGCCCGGCAGGGTGGAGAGGCGGCCCACGTTCCTGGAGGCCCCGGCTGCGGAGGGCGAGCGCCCCGGCACAGGGACACGCTCCGCAGCAGGGGCTCCCGGCCCCCAGGCCGTGCTCTCTCTGTGCCACGCTGCCAGGGGCAGCCCGGCCCGGTCTGACCCGTGCCCTGCTTGGCTACGAGGCCCCTCCGGCTCGCTCCCTGGGGAAGCAGCCCCCTTTCCCCCCGCACACAGTGAAGCAGCGGCACCACTGTCTCCGCGGCTCAAATGCCTCGGCCCAATCCTTCCTCCGCCTCTTGATGCACTTGCCTGCCTGCCCCTGGCACACCTCGGGCAGAAGGGCAGGGCAGGAGCAGGACCCCGCGGAAGCGGCCACGCGGGGAGGGCCCTGTGCTGCTTTGGCCCATGGGCAGGAGCCACGCACGGCCCAACCTCGCCCCCCTTTGGGCTTCGAAGACGGATCTCGTAACCTAAAATTCTCGCAGCCGCCCAGTCCCCAGAGGCGGCACAGGCAGCCCCCAGCATCGCTGAACCCGCACCGGTACAGTCACGACCACGTCCAACCCTATGGTAAAATAATTTAAAAGGCAAAAAGGACTCTAAGCTAAAGACACCAGAGCCAGCAAATCGGACGCGGGATGCGTTTTAAAGGTCCTCAGAAGCTCTGCGTAGATATTTGGCCCAGGGGGCCCGATTGCACCTCTCCTGGGAGAGCTGGCATGGGGACCCCACTCTGGGCCTTACGGGTCGCCCGCCTCAAGCTCCCCTAGCTGACAGAACAGAAGCACGAGATGGGGAATACGTGGCTCAACGTGGCAAACAGAAGCACAAGGCACGGATCCCCCTTCCCGCCCGCATGCGCCCCGGCCAGAGGGAAGGGAGCCGCTCCGCTCCGCAGCTCCCCCTCCACGGCCCGGCCTGCCACCACCGCCCGGCCAACGCGGGGCGAGCGACGGCTGCGCCTGGACGGGGCCTGGGACCCGCGGCGTCCGAGGCCTCAGCTGGCCAGCGAGGCCCCCCGGCAGGTCTGGGCTGGGCCCTGGCGGACTAACCTCCTCCCCCCGCGGGAAGACAGTGCTGGCGGACTCTGGCCTCCTCGCGAGCGCACAGCGGGGGAAGCGCCGCTACGCCCCGGAGCAGGGCTGTGCCCGCAGGCGCCCCCCTGTGCCGCCCTGGCAGCAGCGCTGGAGACGAGCAAAGGGCGACCGTCTGAGTGGCCAGAGAGCGGCCACCACTGGGAGAGCCACCTCGCTGGCTGCTACGCTGCTTCCTCCTTCAGCAGATGGGCGACATCCTGCCCCACCATCCCCAGAGAGCCTGGCCCACGCCTGGAGGGGATGGGGACGGGGCTGAGACGGGCCGGCCTGGGATGGGGCCGCTTCCTCCCTTCCCGGGTCGGCCCCCCTTCTCCCCCCACCCCAAGAACTCAGCCCGGGAGCAGCACAGAGCGGGCCCCTCTGGGCCAACCAGCCCTTCACTTGCGGAGCTGCCAGAGGAGGCCCCCCAGGACCACGCGTGTGTCCCGGCAGCTGCTGCTCTCGGTGAGCGCCTTTCCACCCACGGGGGCCTCACTCTGCATCCCGTCCCCAAGGGAGTCCCCGCAAGGATGCTGCAAGGGCTGGGGGGGTGTTGGCGTCCTTTGCCCGTGTTCTGCTTCTAGGAGGAGGGCAGGATATGAAAATGTGGAGCAAAGGAGACAAGCAGAGGCAGCCTCGGCTCTTGCTGCCTGGGACACGCTCCACGAGATGCCAGGGCTCACCAAGGTTCTGTCTGGATGCCAGGAAGCACTTCCTGACAGTCAGGACCCCTGGGGCATGGGATGGGCTTCCCTTGGAGGTGGCTGGGGCCCCATCGGTGAGGGTGTTCAAGGACAGGCTGGACGTGCACATGGTGGGCATGTCATGAGCGGAGCCGGCTGGAGCCGGGGTCAGACTAGATGGCCCGGGAGGCCCCTTCTGGCTCCCTGTTTCTGTGTTTCAGATGAGGGCATTAATGCTGTTGGTGGCGAAAGCGCCCGGTTGTCTCCTCGCCTTCCCTCCCACCCAGCCCCCTGCCCCGGTGCCCCCTTGGATTCTGGCATCTGCTTCTCCCAAATGACCTGCACCAGTTCTTCCTTTCCATTCAGAAGCTGGGAGCTCCGTGCCAGCAGCAAATCAGGAAAGCAGGGCGGGCCGGGGGGCCGGGGGGCCGGCTGACGGGTTCCCAGACAAAAGCCGCGAGGCCAGCCTTTGGATGCAACTCGGCCGCAAGACGACTGGGAATCTGGCAGCCCGACAAACGGCCGGGGGAGCTGCGAGCTGCAAACTAGTCCGCCACAGCACTAGGGGGGGGGGGGGGGGCAGAGAAAGGCCCCTCCCGATGCCGCTGTGCCTCCAAGCTCTGTGCAGAAAAGCGCGAGCCACGCGATCTGCCTGCTGCAACTGCTTCCTTTGTCCCTCCATCTGAAGGGGGCCATTTCCAATCGCACTCCGAAGGGAAGCCCCCGGTTGCGAGTCCCCCCCCAGCCAGCCCGGCCTGAAGCGCCTTTGCAGGTGAAAAAGAGGACACCCCCCCCCCCGCAGCAAACACGCGGAGGAGTTCCTGCTGCCTTCGGCTTTCAAGCATGTGCAAAGACCAGATGCCCTCGGCAAAGGGGGCGCAGGGGTGGCCTCTGCCCCACCCGGCTGGTTTCCACAGGCCCCCCGGCCCCATGGCCAGGGCAGGCTTCCTCAGGGCGGCTGCGCCGAAACGGCTGCGGCCCAATCGGAGCTCTTCTGGAGATTCCCTAACCCCGCTGCCTTCCACACAACGAACAGTCAGGGAGGATGGGGGATGCCCAAGCTGGCCCCGCAGCCCCACAAAGGGACAGAAGGGCCCACAGCTCGCCTGTACAGGCCCAGCGCCCATCTCACCCAAAGCTGCTCCCGGGTGCTCAAAGGGAGCCCACCAGTCCTGGGCGCCAGAGCCCCTGCGCATGGCTGCTGGCCTGGGGAGTCGCGCCCTGGCCCACCCAGCAGCAAGCCCACAAACTGAGCTTGGCTCTCGCCAGCTCACGGCCACCTCTTGCCCTGCCTCTGCCTGGCAAGCCGGCGAGGGGTGGCCACGAAGAGGAAGAGGAGGCAGAGTGGCTGGTGGCCTGGGTGAGAAAGCAGGCTCACCGAGGGAGGGGCCTGCGGAAGAGCTCTTGCCACAGGCCCCCGGCACCTGGACTCAGGTGCACTCCCCCAGCCAGGCATCCACTGAGGTGCCCACCAACCACGGAGGCAACACAGCCGTCGCGGCCGGAAGCCACGAGTGCACTGGCCCCCGGAGCCCGGGCCTGTCCGTGCCAACGCGAAGCCGCCCTGCAGGGTGGCAGCCCGGAAGAGGCTCCTGCCAGGGCCGCCCCGGTCGACTCACCCCCACACCCCACGTTCAGCTCCTCCGTTCCCCATGCCAGGCTCTGCAGGCCCCGTGGGCCGTGCCCGTGAGGTGGGGCAGCCAGGCAGGCGAACGAACGGTACCTGCACGAAGGCGGGCGAGGCACATGGGGGGCCGCACAGGCAGCTCTGAGCGGCTGCCCCCCTTCCCAGGGCTGTGTCTTCCGGACGTCCAGCTGCAAATTCCACTGTGCGACTGCTGGCCTAGAGCGGGGGGGGGGGCACCGTGCCGCGCTGTGCGGCTGTGTGAGGTGCAGGTGCGGCCCCGGCTCCAGGTCTGCAGCTGCCCCTCCCCACAGGCCCCCCCCCCCAGCAGGACACCCTCCCCACATTCAGTTCGCTTTTTACAGCCCCAAAGCCACAGCCCTCTGGGCGAGTAGGAAAAGTTAAAATGAAACAGAAGTTTAGAAGACACAGACACAAACATCAACCTAAAAGAACGCACCATAATTAAAAATGCTACGATTTAGCAGAGAAGCCTGGCAGCAGCGCAGAATAAAGTGGGATTATAAAACCGAAATCGAGGGGCTCGATGGCTAAAATGCCGGGAAGCAAGAAGGCCGCGCTTCACCTGGTGCTCAAAAACATGCCAAGCGGGCACCAGACGTGCCTCTTTCGGGAGCTCCTTCCAAAATCATAAACACAGCCATGAGCCGGCAAAGTGTCCACCGGCCGAGAGCCCCTGTGGGCGGCGGGCACAGAGAGCAGCTGCGACCGGGGGGCGGGGGGAGACTCGGCGGCCCCTTTGCAGCTCCCGTGGAGAAACGAGAGCGGAATCTGGGCCGCCGCCCGGCAGTCCCTCTGCAACGGGCGAGCGGGAGCCCGCGGGGGGCAAGATGGCCACCGGCCCCAGAGCAACGGGAGCGCCGCCACGAAGCCCCGGCCCTGCCCTCGCACTTGACGCCGCTGCAGCCGGGGGGGGGGGCGACCCGCCGGCGCTCCCCCCATTAGTATTCAGAGCACCGCCGAGCCTGGCTCGCTATTCTTCTCCCGGCACAAAACCCGCGCGGCCGGGCAGCGCGCCACCGGCCCCCGCCCGGCCCGGGGGGACTTCCGCAGCCGAAGCGGGGCGCGGGGGAGAAAGAGCGGCGCCCCCCCCCGCGATTCGGTCCCCGCCTGCACGGAGCCCCGCGAGGGCCGTCGGACCCCCGGGAAGCCGGCCTCGGCGGGCCTCCCGGAGAGCGAGCGGGGCCCTTCGGGGAGCGCACTTGCGCCGCCTCGGCCGGCCGCGCGCGGGGGAGGGGCGGCCTCTCGGGAGCGCCCCCAGCCCGGGCAGCGCGGAGCGGAGCGGGCGGAGGGGCCTCGCGCGCACCGGGCGGGCCGGCAGCGCGCACCGGCCTGCCACGCTTCCGAGGCGGCTCTGCGCGGGGCAAGCGCGGCTGCCGCGGGCGCAGGCGGATCCGGGCGCGCTCCGCGCACGCCCCGCGGGACTGAACGCGCGGGGCCATCGCCGTCCGCTCCGCGCGGCTTCCGCGAAGGAGTCGCCTCAGGAACCGAACCCGCCAGCGGAGGCCGCTCGGTGGGCAGAGCCCCGGCCGGCCCGGCCACGCCGCCTCGCCTCGCCCCGCCTCGGGCGCTCGAAGGACCCGCGGAATCTCCCCCAGGCTGCCCGAGCGCCGCGGCCGCGGGAGACGCACCGGGTCCGGGACGCACGAGGGCGGGCAGGCGGCACCTGGCCACGATGAGGTCGAGCGGCAGCGGCGGGCCGGGGCTCCACGCGAGGCGGCCCAGCGCCGCCGCCAGTCGCTCCATCCTGGCCGCTCGCCCCGTCGCCGCGGCGGCATCGCCTTCCACCTCGCCCGCGCCGTCCGGCC